GTCGGTCTCCTTCGCTTAGCCCTATAAACCGGTCCAGTATATAATATCCCATATCAAAGTGCAATTCGTCTAATACTACTGTGCAACCGCAGTGTATTTATTATTTATTATTATAAAAGTATATTTATTATTTTAATATTTTCTATATATTAAAATTTACATATTAAAAATTTTAAACTGTGTACAAATATTTATCATTAGTACGCATTTATGAGATATTTTTATATTCGAAACATAATCTTTAGTTCATTGAGTTTCGGTCATTATGTGTAATTCGTTTAACATTATTGCAACTAGGTAGTCGTTAAAGTGCAATTCCCCTAACACCATTTGTGTAGTCGCAGTGTATTTATTATTTATTATTATAAAGTATATCTATATATTAAAATTCTTAAAACATTATTAAAATTATATTTAATTTGTTACTATTTTTATTTATTATTTTTATTTTTTTATTTTATTGAAAAACATATCGGGTTCGACAAGTTTCAATATCAATGTGCAATCTAAGAATTGTCATAAAGTGCAATGTAGTGTTTTGTAAAGTGCAATGTGTTGTTTTATAAAGTGCAACGTGTTGGTGTACAAAACGATATACTATAACTGTAACTTTAGTACATTATCATGCTCGTGTTTTGTGTGGGTAAATGATGTTATTGATGTTAAAATATGTATATCAATTTTTAAAAGTAACAAATAAATTTAGTTCAGGCGATTTTATTGTCGCTAAAATGCGCTCTGATAGTTATTATCGTGCAATGCATCAAACACTAATGTAATCGACCCAAAAAATAAAATTCGAATCCAAAACTTTGTTTGGTTGTTTCGGTCGCTATAGTGCAATCTGTTAGTCACTAACGTGCAAGCCGTCTAACACCAATGTGCACTCGAATTGCAGCTATTTTTTACAAAAATTTATTCATGTTTGAATGTTTTTTATTTAAATATAACATGTAATAAAAATAATCAAAATAAATTATTATCTATAATAATTAATAAATATGCAAATATAACAATGCAATTTTGATTTTTTTCATGTAGTGTCATTTTTTTAGTTTTTGTGGTTGAAAATACTGTTGTGTATTCACCAACACAAGAATTGTCTAATGTACACTATCATTGGCAATATTCTGCATTATATTTAGTAATAATGTTCATTTATGGAGTAAGATATGAAAATTAGATAATGTTCATCTATTAAGTTTTTAGAAATCACATATTAGCCCTATGACCAAATTGCAATTTTATCAAACTTTCAAAATTGCAATTAGATCCATGTAAATTATCTTATTTTCGAAATGAAGCCCCCCAACCTAAATTCAAGCCTACTGTAAATTCCCCTCTGCAATTCGCAAATTATTTTCTGTGTCTGCAATCGATCGAGGCGAGGGCAGAGCTGGTTACACAAGCCTGATTGACCTGTTTCCGGCGTCAGTGGCGTCGCCGTCGAATTTACCGGCAGACGGTGGTGAAATGCGTGAAAGAGACAGTTAGATGCGGTGGTGGCTAGTGGAACCGTGGCGATCTTCTGGTGAAACAATGCAACGGCGGTCAGCGGGTACAACTCTTAGGTATCGCCGGAGTGGAGTTCGACGACGGTGTCGGTGGCTGCGTGCAGTGGATATGCGGGACAGTACTTTTCCGGCGATTCCGACAACTGTAACCTTGACATAGAGGTCGGCGACCAAGGTCTAGCAAGGGCAGGGCGAATATCGCGTCAAAGAGGACGGCGAGAAGGGCGGAGCCGGGGAAGATTGAGGCGGATATGGCGACTGGATATGGAGGATACGGCGATTGAGTTTCAATGTGTGTGTTGTGTGTGTGAGAGAGAGAAAAGAGATGCGAGGAGTGTATGTGCACGCACGTGTGTTGTTTTTGGGGTCAACTGGTAGATAATGTAAAATGTTCAAATTATCTTTAATGAAGGTATAATTTTGACTGTTTTTTAGTCATTAGATTATCCGATCTAATGACTATAATTTATTCTCATTTCTTTCATGGAGAACCATTCTCATGTGAACCCAACCCTATATATATATATATATATATATATATATATATACACACACAATAACACACAAATACTTCCTTCTCAATTTTTTACTATGCCGATCCCTTCTTTGTTGTTGGCTATCTATTTTCGTTAATATATTAGTCCTATCTATACATAGTCGGCTCCTTGGGTAGGCAAGCTACGCCCATGCTTAGGGCCTCCATTTATTTGGGGCCTCAAATTTTATTTCTTTTTTAGTATTTTGTATTTGTGTTGGGTTTGACTTATTTACACAAAAAAAGGGCTAATGACTAAATATATAGGACTTGGCCCGTTACACAAATAAAAGGATAATGACAAGATATGTACTTTGTGTAGAAATTTGAGGCCTTAAATATTGTATTTGTTTTCTTATGATGTCCGGTCAGAACAAGTTGTGCGAGAATAAATATTTTCTGCAGTCATATGATTTTTATTTTTTTTTTCTCCTTGTGTCCTCGTGACTACTTGAATATAATTAAATAACCTTTTTAACTCAAAGGTAATTTATCAGTTCCAAGATCTAGAAAAACAAGATTCTTTTTTTTCAATTATTTATTTGTTTAATTAGGTTTTTTTTCTGTCATTATTCTATCTACAAATAGTCATAATACCACGCAAAGTCAAAATGAAAAATTCGAAAAGAAAAAACTTGTCTGTGGCCTTCATATTTCCAGAGACGGCCCAATATCTATATATATATAATTGCTAACATTTCATTTAATTTTACCTCATGAATAAAACCTAATAAATATTACCTAATAAATAGCACAAATTTTCAAATACAAAAAGCGTTACTTTTGCAAAATACATTAGTTTTGGATAGTTACAAAATCTAAACTAATGACCACTATTATATTTGAGTATATCAATTTAGGCTAATTAGCTAAAAATGTTTACTTTTTAATTTTTCATAATATCATGACTATGCTAACTTAATTACTAATTGTTTATTATAGAAACTCATGATTATATAAGCATGTATTCAAAATATAAATTTTTAAAAAAACTTTTTATAAATTTTTATTTAAATGTCTATTGATTTTCATGGTACCCCTACAATAATTAATCATGGTGAAACGGAAAATACAACACATGTACAACATAGACAAATACACTAACAACAATTAAAAATAATTTCACCAGCTCCAATAAATTGTATTATATAATAGTTATTATTAAAATTAATAATTATATTTTACACTAAATGGTATATAAAAATTACAAAAACATTATAAGAAACTATATTGTAAAAACTAAAACTATTTGTCCGAGTTATTTCATATAAATCAATATCATATTTTTTTTATCTGATTGAGCGATTGCTTTTTATTAAAATTAATTTATTTTAATGGCGTAGTAAAATTCCTTGGAATCGCATAAGCAATTGTTATAATAAATTAATATTTTTTAGCTAATTTATTAGTCATAGTCCCTCAAAATTACAAAAAATACATTATTTATTTTATTTTATGCATCAATGTAGTGACTCATATACAATCAGATCGTTATGTACTATTTATTTTAACCAATTATCAAATTTTAAAACATATTATCTTTATCTAACTTATAATTTCAATATTATCTGCATAAATATAACTTATAATACCTTGTGTTTAAAATATAATACTATTATCTAACTTACAAATTTTAATAGTATATGCATACAAATAACTTATAATATTTTATTTACGTACAAATAGCTCAAGTACCCTTCCTTGATTACATACAAACAAAGTAGTAATAGTAGTACATTTGTTCAAACAGGAGAAACAGAAGAAAGGAGCAGGAATCCAAGCATTGACATACAAATGGTGGCACAATTATCACAACATATTAACAAAATTAATTGTTCATCTTGGACAAGGCTTTCTCGAAGTGGGCCCATTTCTGGTCCAGCGTCCCGGTGAACCCTACCGACATTCTAACAAGACCAGGTGAAATTCCAGCCAAAGCCTTCTCCTCGTCACTCAACTCACTACTGGTGCTACTTGCCGAGCATGACATGAGAGTGTCATGGTAGCCCAAGCTAACGGCTATGAACCCGAATTGGGCGTAATTCTGCAGAAGGTCCATGAGACGATACGCCTTGTCCTGGGTTTCCATGTCCACACACAAAATCCCTCCATAACCGTACTCTTTATTGGAGATGGAGTTGAAAAGGGCGTGGTCGGGATGATCTTCAAGGCCGGGATAGATGACTTTGAGGCCGAGTTTCTTCATCCTTGTGGCGTACTCCAAGGCCCGTCGGGAGTGCTCCTTCATCCGGAGGCCCAGATGAGGGAGCCTCTCCCAGAGTTCGAAGGCTACCTTCGGGTTCATGGTGGGACCCAACAGCATGAAAGCTCCATCTTCAACTCTCATCATGGAATTCAATAGGTTGGTCGGTCCACAAACTGCACCTGTATTATTTTGGCGCTAAACTAATAAATAATATCCATCATATTTAGAAAGATACCATTCTGTCGAAATTTGTAACCGTTAGATCAATTATCTCTGACGGTTACATCATGATCTAACGGTTACAAACCCCGACGTAATGATTCCGTAACGAGACCTTAGCATTTCCCTCATATTTATAACAACAAACCATCCAACACGTTTTCAAAACATCCTTATTACAAAATGTAGAGTGATCACGATTTAATTTAGTACACAAGAATATGAAACAAATGAATATGTCAACATTAATTAAATAAAAATAGTTTTCAATAATGATATTATTTCTATCTTTTATTTTATTTTTATATTTTATGATCTATAACAGTTTATTAATTATATGATACATGTGTATTTCACCTTTTATAAAATAAATACCATTTTAGAGTTCTTTAATTAAATAACATAAAACTTTTAAGATTTTAAAAATTATTAATTAATTAAAAAAAAACTCTCTCTTTCCTTATTCACATCTTATTCCAGTAAATGTTGAAATATTGTGTCAGATATTATAAATATTTCTTTATTTAATATGCACAATGAATTAATTAAATATACATTAAAAATTATATTAGTTATATAACACAAAACAAAAAAATATCAAATTATTTATACAGTAGGAAATATATATTGATTGGTTTGAATTAAATATATATGCTAAATATGCATTTTCTTATGAACCAAATATGCCGTATGTGTGAAGTAAATTTGTACTCGAGTATACAATTTATATGAACTAAATATGCATTTGGTATGAACTAAATACTTAACTTGTATGAATAAAATATGCGAAAAATATATTAACTAATTTTGCATTGTTTATGAACTAAATATGCACTTTGTATGAACTAATTTTGCATTTCTTATGTACTAAATGTGCAGTCAAAATATGCAATTGACAACAATATACTGACGCCTTCTACTGTCTTTATGTTATCAGTTAGATATGCATTGTTTAGAACTAAAATATGCATTGTATTATAATCTAAATATGCACAAAAAATAAATTAAATGTGTGATAGGAATACTATACCGGGTTGAATAGACCCGACAAACCAGTCAACCGAGTCAACCGTGCAGGGCTAAATGGGAAAAGAAGGTCGAATATAGAAAAAAATTGACTTCAATTTGGGGACATTGGAAGGAATGTCAGATAAAAACTTGGCCTTATTGCGGTTTTGGAGGTAGGGCCCCTCTATCTGATTCTTTGGCCACATAACAATTGAAAAAATAAATCAAGGTCAATTTTACATTATCTACAAAATAAAAAAAAATATATATAAAAGGAAGCAAGATGGCAGATGGAGTTAGAAGGAACCAAAAATACACCCAGGTTGAGAAGGTGTGGGAAAATAAGAAATCCAAGGCTTAACTCGACCTGGTTCTAGAAAAAAAGTGTAATAGCCAC